TCCATAATCATATAAGAAAAGTCTGGTAAAAAATTCATACCGGACAGGAGAGGAATGTGGATGACTGAACCAGTCTGCAAGTCAAAATTCAAAAGTGAACAAAACCAAAAAAAAAAAAAGAGGAATGATTCACCAGGAGACATGTTCAAATGTGGATTTGCTGTTTTCAAGTACATTGGTATGCACCCCAAAGTTGTTCAGGCTGATTGTTGGAGTGTGTGTCAATATTCTAAGATTGACCCGGGGAAAATTTGGTGACACCTGGTAACGGATTCAAAGCATGAATGATGTTTTTGAACAACAATAAGCATCATTTGAGGCCCTGTTGGCTTTCCCCCAGATTTCTCAAGTGTTTTTTTAAATTTTGCATGGTCAATTTATGCTTATAAAACCTTGAGGCTGTTTGAAATCCAATTCCATCCAGATTTTTGTACATTTTTGACAAAGAGGTCTGACCTAAATGAGTTATATTATATATCAAGTTACATAACTTGAGGAAAAAACACTGTGCATTGATTTATGGGCCTCATTAACCAGTAATTTATCATTAAGTTAGATGTATCAATGAATAATTACCTGTAAGTAAGAATAGCTCAATGAGCTGAGCCTGTAACAGTCCTTGCAGAAGGTGTTTGAATTAAATGTTTAAAATAGAAGTCATTTGGACAATCTGAACGGTCTCTCGGTTGGATTGGCAAGCCAATATTTATCATGTCTGCAGGCCTCTTGCTAGCCAGGAACGAGCCATCCGGCGCAGTGTTTGGCAATATACCTTGCCTTTCCCGGTGAGATGGCCGTACACGGAACCGGAAGGTGGCAATTTCACTTGCATAGAACCAGTGTTTAGGATGCAATCTTCTTTCAAGCTAGATCAGTTCTGGTCAAATTATGTAATTTTAGATGAATGGTAGCGAAGGTTTTAAAACTATGTAGTAGAAGATTTCAGGCAGGTTTCTGTCTCCGCAAGACTAAAGGAAAATAACATCCAGTTTTTCCCGTTGTAACAATTATCTCCAGCGACATATATCCATGCTTTTTGTTAAACATCAATCTTTTAGGCGTTTGGATGGAGGATGACTTTTAGCTGAAGATGATATATGTGTTGATGTAAATATTTATGTACTCTTGAGCTAAAACAAATCTCATCGCCCCAGAACATGTTCCAGACAGGTTCCTGGATGTCATGGCAATGTTCGCGCCTATGCATATGCCATAGACTTAGTAGACCATCCCTTTACGCTTTTTTCTCAAATCATCTAATCGCTTTGGCTTCCTGACTGCAATAAGGGAATAAAGGGAGATATTGAGCAAGGTGATCACCACACTACTTTCTTAATAGTTTTTTTTGTCATACCTTTTGAGGATTTGGCAGAGCGATGGGCAAGTAGCTTGTGGGCGTCCTGAGCCAGTGGGCCGGTCACTATTCGAAAGTCTTCTGATTTGACGGGTGTGTTGCCGCTGTGATCGGTGTGATGGAAAAGGAATTTGACAATCAGTCTTCACCGGACAAAGTCGAAATGCTTTTGAAACGATGGCGGAAAACTTACGCAGCGTTTTCATTCTTCATAACTTCGAACTGGACAGAAAATAAAAGTGTTGAGTCAGTATGACCTGTGTTCTTACAACGATGGGTGGGAGGTTAAGGAGGGGCAGAATTTCATCTCCAAACACCAATTCGATCGAGACACGCATAACAATTCCGTACCCAAACAATTGCTTTAAGCTCGGGAACAGCCTCCGCCATCGACCTAGACAAGAGCTGGCTCATCCAAGCCAGCTTGATATCGCGCTCATTGGCCGTACCAGGAGCAGGTTTGCCGTCGAGGGAGCGAGTGTAAGACGCTGCAGTTTCAGCCAGAACTACCGGCCGGTCATGCGTTTTGGAACCAAATAACTAGCGAGATATTTCGGCCTAGAGTTAGTTGAGCTGAACAAAAACATGGTGGAAACAAAAACGTTGAGGGTGCTTTTTGCTCATTTTTTTTTCCTCTTTTTACCTTGACAAACTCATTGATCGTGTCCAAAGCTTCCGTCGGCGCGGGGATAACGTTGGCACGCTCATGTCCTAATAGGAAATTGTCAGAGATGGGGCTAGGAAGTTATCTCTGATGATTCTATTCTCCCTACCTCCATAGTGGTAAAATGATAATCCTGAGTTGAACGAAGGAACAATAAAACACTCCTATCAACATCTGTCAAAGAATAACTTTCAAGTGAAATTGAATTTTAACAAAAACAAACCAATCATGTCGACTAATTCACCACCCGGCCAATATTTCGTATACCCTCCAAGAAGCGCGTCGTGATCCTTACCGAACCCGGAATTGGGAGCCCAAAGCATAACTGGAAAAAACAATGGGAAGTCAACTTAATTGTATCATTTGCGTCCTTGTCTCGGTCTCACTGCTATATGTCCTACTTACGAGTCTTGGGAGCAACACTCCTGACGGCATTCGTCACGAGTTTCCATTTCTCAAGAAATACTAAATAACATTACATCTCATCAGACCAGATATATTTCTTTTGTATGTCATCCTCTTTTACTCGTCGCAAAAGCAGAAGAAACGCTGGAAGTCTTACGCGCTGGTTTTTGTCCCCAAACATACCAGTCTCCATTCATCTATGACAAGATTGTTATAAACTCGGTTCAAGTCAGATTTTTATAAAAATAAACAAACGGCATAGAAGTATGACGAGCTCTTCCTCACCTCGTGGGCAAAGCGAAGCCAAACCGTAATGCCTTGTGCATTCAGCATTTGCATTTTCCTCGCGATATTTCCTGCCTGTCGGACGGATGTGTAAACAAGCTCATTACTTCATGGTGAGAGTCAAGACGTAGAGATATATGAATGCCTACAATCTCAGGCGTCACTTTCTCCAACCCTTCCACAGGCATGATCGCTATTTCCCATACAGGCCAGCCTATCAATTGCCGGTATTGCGGTAATTGCTATTAGGAACATCGCATGGCAAGCAGGGAAGCAATAAAAAAAAAGTCTAATATTAGAGTTATTCAACCAAGAGTCGAGGTAGAGATGAAGTGAACAGACCCAGTCGATCTCCGTAAGGTTAGTATCTTTGGCATAGAGTTGAATATAGCTGCCCATCTGATATTTTGTTTTTTAGATACGGATTGCGGATGTAAATGTGTCAGGAAAGAAGGAAATAGAAGCTTTAGAGACCTGGCCCAATGCAAGAATCTTACGATAGACATGGGGGCACCAATGCGATTATTGATGTCCAAGGGGGTGTTGGGCTGGATTGGCTCACTGAGCGCAGGCAGAAAACCCACTGCAATGCCATTGATGTTCAAGTTAGTGGATGATAAGCCGGTATTGATGGACCTCGTTCTGCGCTTGGAGGGCTTAGGAGCTTGTCGTAATTGCTTGTTTGAATGATGCGATTTGTGGCCTATTTGTGATGATGGAAGTGACACTGCGACGGAACAAAGGAACGTGGTAGCAAGCAGTGCACATAAAAATTCTTTCATTCTGAAGAGCTGGAATTAACTTGAAAGCGTTATTTAGATAAGTGGGCAAGATAATTCCCAGAAGTTCTCCAAGTTCTGCGCTGGAAGGGAAAGAGACAAAAAAAGTGAAGACAGCTTGTGTGCGGCACGAGGAAAGGTAATAATTATTGAGCGGCGAGGAGTGGAGTGTGCCTCAAGTATTCATGGATAGCACGGCATTCGTCCACAAGGCCGAGTGGCCATGCAGGCAATAAGTGGCATGGTGGAATTCCTAGGGAAAGTGGTAAAAAAGGTAGAAGGTGAAGTAAGGAAGTCCATCCAATGTGACCAATCCACGTCCTGCCCCCTCCAGGCTCAGCTCCCCTTCACGCATGTCCATATAAGGGAGGAGCTCCCAAGAACAGCACATTCTGACCACTAGATCAGTGCATAAGGCTCGATCTTTGAGGTGTAGACTGACGACAGCGACGGGCAACCCTGCACAGCTCAACAAAACCAGGTGCTGTCGTTCAACTTCACTCGGCTCTCGTACCCTAGCCCTGCGATACACATTCACCCTAGCCGGTGATCACACCAGTAGTACAGCTTTCGGAAGCAAATCCGCCACAGCTTGCTGGCCGTCCATCCCCGGGATGTGCCAAAAATTGGTGCTTCCGGGGACCGCATATGGGAGGATGTGCACTCATTTAATGTGATGTGTATGGGGGTGTACGGGGGGAGAGAGTTCCTGCTTTCACAATCCTTTCAGATTCATCGGTCCAACCGGAAAAGACGAGAAGGGCGAGAACCAGATTGGAGAAAATAAGCTGCATGGAAAAGAGACATTTGCAGGAGAAGAAGGAGGGAGGCGAGATTGGAAAAATTGAACAGTTGCGACTGATGAGAAGGGAAGGGAAAAACTCTTGTTATAAAGCAAGTCCCAAATATAACTCTCGTATATAGCTTGTATATTACATGTATCAAAGGAATCCAGGCAGACAAAATGCACACACTCAAAAAAAAAGACATACATCACACGAGTCAAACTAGCGCCTCTCTACTCTTATTCTCAGTGGTGGCTCTTCTCATTTTTTCACACATCAAAAACTTCAATAACCGTCGCGAGCCATCAGCATCAAGGGTTGTGAAGCTCCTTTTGCTGATGTAGATCATCTCGTTCTTCTGTCTGAGCTAAACATGAGGCTTGGGCGATAGAATTAAGCAGCCGCCTGAAAACAAAACGCCTGCTCAGCAAACAAAACAGAAAGAAGTTATCCCTGAGACATTTGGGTGGTGGGGCCTACCTCAACAGCTTTGGAGGCCGCCTCGTCGAGGCCGTCGAACGCACTAAGAAACGCAACATGCACAAGGATCAGTAAGCAAAACTATACATGTAGATAACACGAGAACATCGAGTTCAGCTTACAAGATTTTCATCTTCGATTCCTTGATCAGCCTGAGAATTGCACCCGATCAGGGGATCAAACAAGGGCCATGAATTGTCTTCTACAGAGCTCTGATTTTACGTGTAAGATCATGAGCAACTGAAGGCTTACTTTTTAGCCTCTTTCTCCTTCGTTCCCTGCAAACGAACAATCAAGGGAATATCGAGTGATAATTCATTGGTAGCCTTGATAATACCCCTAAATAATGAGAGAAGCAATTGAAATAAGTATTGATGCACGTATCAGATGAGATGAGAAAACTCACTCTGCAATCACGTCACATCTCATACTACGGAACATGCGCACATAAGTCAGGGATTTCTGGTTATTCAAGTTGGAGCGAAATTATGAAACGTACATTCCTCCAAAGATCTGCCGGACATCAGAAACCAGTGAGGATTTAGATAAGCAGTCTTGAAACCAGCAGCAACTCTTTCCAGTACCCCCCAAAAAACTCACGTTAACAAAGATTGATTTGACACCCTTGTCGCTGGTGATGAGCTCAAAGGCTTTTTTGACTGCTTCGGCGGTAGCACCTCCTCCCACATCGAGGAAATTGGCGGGGTTGCCTATTCAACAGGCTTTCAGCAAAGCGAGAGATAGTCGATTACGAAGAACGGGAGATAAGCGTACCGCCATTCAGCTTCAGCACATCCATGGTCGCCATAGCTAGCCCAGCTCCATTGACAAGGCATCCAATGTTCCCGTCCAGCTTGATGAGATTTAACCCGTATTCGGCGGCCTCCACCTCCGTGGGATCTTCCTGACTCCGATCTCGCAGTTGGAACACCTTTTCTTGCCGGAATTCGGCGTTCTCGTCAAACCCTAATTTGGCATCCATGCTACCCGCTAAGATTGGTCAAAAAAAAAAAAGACATGCACGTGATTTCTGGGGAGCGTAATCCGGGAGACGGACGTACCATAAAACAGCCCCATCCTTCGTCTCAGCCAACGGGTTGATTTCGATCTGCGTCGCATCCTTGTCCTTGAACAGGCGATACAGGTTGATGAAGATCTCAGCCGCGGCCTGGTGGTCTTTTATGCCTAGCGTTTTGGCAATCTCGACGCCCTTTTCTTTGGAAAGACCGTGCTGGAAGTCGATCGGGAAGGTGTGGATTGCCGCAGGGTCTTTGGCTGCCACCTCTTCAATGTTCATTCCTCCCTGAGCGGACGCTACCAGCGCCGGTCCATTCAGTGATCGGTCATTGAGGATGGCAACATAGTATTCATGCGACGGTTCACGCTTCTCGGCAAGCATCACCTGAATATTTTTTTAAAAAAAATTCGTAGTTTAGCCTGGCATCTCGTGTGATTCATAGTAGTCTTCGGTGCAAGTCGTACAGCATTACAGATCCGCCCAGCGGCCCCGGTTTGCTTGGTGATGAGTTTATGACCGATCATTTGTTTGGCGTATTGCAATGCTTGCGCGGGTGTATCAACCATTTGGACGCCTCCTTTGAGCCCATCTTTTCCTTCGAAGTGGCCCTTTCCTCGGCCACCAGCTAGGACTTGAGCTTTGATGACCATCGGCTTCCCTAGTATACCCCAAGTCAAAAACAGACAACAACAATCAGTCATTCCATTATCATGAGTGAATTGTGGTCTGCGTGTCAGTGACACTGACCAAAGCTCTCGGCAATCTTGTGTGCCTCTTCCGGTGTTTTGGCCGCTTTGCTAATGGGTGTAGGTATTCCGTACTCGTTCAACAAGCCCATCGACATGTATTCATGAATAGATAGCTGTCGTGTTTGGATGTTGGATCCGAGAAGCACCTGTCATTGCGAAAATTGGAGACAACAGAACAACGAAGATGCTCCATGAGATTTGAGTCCTGGCTTGCTTATGGGGAGTTCTCTATATAGTGCTGATTTGAGCTACTGACCCGGTTCAGAGATTTGGCAAGCGCAGGTCTAGCTGGAAACCGATACATGGTGCTGATTGCGTGCGTCTTCAAGAACGTGGCTTCTGCTAGATTTGTATTTTTGTATGTAAAGTGGTTCTTGTTGGCTTTGAACACAAATAGTGCAGCCCTGTTGACTGTTGACTGTTGACTGTTGACTGTAGACTGTGATTACGTAAGATCGGCCGGGAACACATCCCCGGAATCCGGCTGCGCCCGATGAGCACCCGATGCAATATGGCGCCGATCGCCCATTTTGCATATGCAGCCCTAACTCACAAGCCAGGCGGCAGGTATAAAAACCCACTGCTCGCTCCCCCCGGGGCGTTTCTTTTTCTCACAACACGAGCCAGTTGGAAGACGCCAGGAGGGAGCTCTCTCCACCTCTCCCGATAGCTGTCTCCTCACTTTCTAGTGTTGGCTTGTAGAACAACCCTCAGAACCCTGTTGAGTGCGGCCCGGACATCCCCTGGAAGGCGTTGCAATTACAGCGGTGCACATCTTGTATCTCACAAACATGTATCGTAAACTATTAAGCAATGATCAAATAATGCAAAGGAACATTTTGAAATATCGGCACTTCGGTCACAAGCTGTTCATAGGTCTCGCATTAGGTTCTCGTTTTCATGAGCTTGCATGGCTGAGTTGCTAGTCGAGTCAAGCTTGTAAAGGTCAGATTGAACCTGGCAAACTGATTCACATTTGCAGCAACAGCTCCATAGGAACGGATATCAAATATGAAACGGTATAGGCTGATTGGCAGGACAAGTGTTGAGTCGAGAACGTCATGAGCCATCATCACGCGATACAAATATGTAGGGGAGAGTGGGTAAAAGGGTGAATCAGATATCAAAAGCGGGAAAACAATGGAATCGGATACAGATCGTTCAAGATACTTTTCTCCTCTTTTTTTTTTTTTTTTTTTTTTTT